CTTGTGCCAGTCAGAAGGAAGCAACTCCCAAGGGGCAGTCCTACAGCATCAGCATTGTCTCCTGCATCTCTTCCCTCTCAGATTTTATCAGGAATACTTGCACAAGCCAGAAGGCTTTGATTGATACATTTTAGCACAGATACTGCAAATTCAGGCTTTACATGTAGATAATCTTGGCAAGTCCTAGCTCAGTGGCCTTAATAATTTACCTCCCCTCCTACATTTTTAGTCTGCTGTAAATGGATTACCAAAGATCTATCCAAGCTGTTGTACTCCGAGGGACAAAGCCTATCCCTGCTTCTTTTTCTTTCCCCAATTCTCAGTCCAGTGTTCTCAGGCTTGAAGTATGTCTAGTTGTGGAAGAAGACAGCCACTGCCATAGCAGAGAGCAGTTTATTCATAAGATGCAAGAGTCAAGGAAAAAGGAGTAAGGCTGCTTTCTGTGGCAGTGTCCCTTCTGTGGTACTTCTCTACATCCTCCCAAGTCCCCCCTAACTCATTAAGGGAATTGGAAAAGATCCTCCCAACCTGATGGATTGTCACCCAGTAGTGACAGGCATGTTTACTGGTGGAAGCATCCTACATCCTAATATGGAGGCATTTCTCTGGTATCACACTTGCATGGTCTCAGATCATTTATGCAACTAAAATGGACTAAAAAATGAGTCCAAAACAGGAGGCAAGACAGAGACTTATTCTGTCTCAGGGAAGAATTTCATTGAATTACATTGCTTTCCCCATAGGCAACACATATTTCTGACTGATTCAACCTTCTTTCAGCAGAATAAGAATGTAAAAGAAGTGCAGCAACAAAATTGCTAGCATTGACTTCAGTGAGCTGGTATTTCGGTGCTGAAATTTTATTACTGGCATTGGATTAGAAATATGGTCTTTGGTAGGTTTTTTTTTCCCCCAAAAAAGGAAAGAGACTGTTTTAAACTTCTTCCCTCCTTACTTCATGAAAAAAAAAAAAAGTTTTAGGAGAGACCTACTGGAGAGTATTTTAAAATACAGTATTATTTTTTTTATTAGTCACCATGAGTTCAGAACTAAGTAGTAAAACAATGAGTAAAACTTTAAACAGTACTCAGCTTCAGCAGCTGTAATTTGTCAGATGTTGGCTACATTAAATTAAGCCACAGCCTTTTGATCTACTGAGGGAACATCATCAAGCCAGTGTATACAAGAATGCTAAGTCAAATTTACACTTAGAATGCCAACAAGAGGATGGCAGAGCTCAGTCATTCCAAATCACCCAGTATCACTCCAAAGTACTTATTTACTGTCAAGTGTCATGCTTAGGGGCATGGAGGCACTAACATACACAGCACAGTAGTGTGTGACTGAGGAAAATGTGGTTCGTGCAAAATGGGATTCAGCATGTGGGGAAGAGGATTATGTGTAAACTGGAAGACAAACTGTCCTGCTGAGTAGCTGCAGCATGCTGGCTGCACACACAGCACAGGATTTTCTGGGGACCAGCTCTGCAGAAGAGCACAGGCAGGCAGACAGGTCAGTGGTGATGAATGCTAGCCACGAATGGGCTTAGGTAAGAATTGGCCAACAGGTCAAGGGAAGTGTTTTTCCCCTGCTACATATCACTCGAAGCTGCACCTGGAACAGTGTCTGGCTGTGTTTTCCCCAGCACAGAGGAGGGGGAGCTCAGTGGAGAGTTACTGTGACAGCTGAGTGCAGGAGCACAAAAGGTACAAAGAGCTGCAGGAGGAGCTGAATGGGAACTAGGAACTAGGATGGAGAGGTCTGGACAGAAGACAGACAATTCCTCCTCAAAGATGCACTGTAAAAACACAAGAATAAATGGTCACTGGTAGGAGCAAGGGAAATTCCAATTAACTTTTCTTTCCCCTCTGTCCAAATGAAGATGGTTTAGCACTGCAAAAAAGATGCCTGAAGAGTATGTCTAATCCATCCTTCCAGATACTCAAGACTGCCCTGGACAAGATCCCAAGTGCCTGATTTGACTTAGATGTTGAACAAGGGTTGGACTAGAGACCTCTCCATCCGACTTGAATGAGGACACGAAACTAGAAAGCATGCAGGATAAGCCAAACGAAGTCCATTGGTTGCCTGGATGGAAGATGACAAAGGCTGGTCATGCCCAATATCATCAGCATTTCCAGAAGGTAACTGAGTTGGGAAAGAAAACATTTGTGAGAGCAGGAAGACCGGAGAGTGAAGGACATCCTTGCATCCTTCTCTCCCATGAAGTCATGAACCAGAGGCATGAGAAACTATCAGGCATCCCCTTGCCCCTATTCAGGCATACAAAATTACAACTGTGTGCTCCTCCTTTGTGCTCCAAAAAAGTACAAATTGCATCTCTACCTAGCTGCTCCACAGGGTGAGGAGTTGGTAACATGGTAGTGCTGGTGTTTGTGTGGAAGACTGTGTGGAATTTTCCAGTGAAGGACATAATGTAGAAAGCTGCAAGGGTGTCCTTGCGGTAGGCTGACATGGCAGCAAGCAGTGCACATCAACCCTGAAGGTCTGGAGACCTGCACCATTTTTTGTAATAAGTTGTTATAGCTTGGTGACAACTTGGGGTGAGGAGAAATCAGCTCATGTTTTTCATTTTACTATGCACAGCACATATATCAGCTTTTCAGAGCGGTACATTTTTGAGAGCAAGCCTGTGAGGTCACTTTTGAGTCACATCACAATATTAATTGCATTTTATTACACTATAATTTGAGGCAAAGTATTGTACAAGTCTTCATTTAGAGGGCATGACTCAAATCCAGTTTCTTTTTTCACAAGGTGTATCAATAATATTTGTCTGAGATGACCAAAAAAAGAAGGAAAACTTTGAAATGCTTAATGATTTAAAAAAAGATTTAAACACAGAACAACAGCAGAGCCACAAGCTAGAATTAAACAAGTTAGAATAATTTTTCTTTGGTCCTTCTTACATCTCCTGAAACCATGCCTGGCCAGCATCCCAGCATGATCTGAGAGATGCTAAGAAAAGACTCAATCTAACATATATAATCGTGTCTTTTATTAGATACATAGTTAAGTATTGTATAGATCATTATTGGTTTGCACCTCAAAGAAAATTTCAGTCTCTTACTGTGGAGATAAAATGAGACAGTTAAAACATATTGGACTTGATTTAGCAGCGTCAGGGAGCTGCCACAGTAGATTTCTCTTTTTGGGAAGACCAGGAAACCTCTAAAGATGCTCACAGAGGAAGCGCGTTCCCTCCATGACCCAAGTCACCTTCCTCTTAGAAGACAACCACCACTGCTCCAGTTACTGTGATAAGCATTTATCCCAGAGCTTAGCTCTTCTGAGTTAGGACTTTCTCACATTTTGCAACCAAGGTTTACTCCTGGCCAGTTTTACTCCTGTGCTCTTCCTGAGACCACTCAGCAAGTAACATAGCTGTTTATTCACTCAAATTCACAGGAAGTAATCTTGCCCCTTCCTCTTTACTAAAAGAAAGAAGTACCCATTCTGTTTTCTAATACATTCATCACTGATTCAAACCCCAGCACCACCTGCTTTCATCAATTTGTTGAAACTTTTTGTCATGGGGTTTACTTTGAGCTCTGACTGCTGGAGCTAGAAAAAAAAAGCCCCTCTCTAACCAATTAAGTAATGTTTTCCTACTGACACTAGTTACAAAGGAAACTTGTAAATATGGCTCAGAGGAACTCTGGCATCTCAAAAATCAGAAGACGAATAATAAATTTTTATCAAGCATGCTGTATATTAGCGCGATTTGAGGTGTCATCTCAGGAGTTTGTAATATTGCAGTAAGTGCATTATTTGAGGGTTAGTGCAAGCGTCAATGTTCTCTTTCAGGTGGTTATTAAAAAGTTATAAATTGCATGAATTTGATGAACACAGGACTCGCTGGGTATTTTTCATTCATTTAGTTTTCCTCCCACCTTTCTAAGACCATCTCTATTTGCCTTTACAAGCTGTCTGATCAGAGCCATCTGTCAAATGCAGCAGCAGGGTCACATGAACACAGAGAAGTTCCCAGGCTTGACCTGCCTTGGTCAACAAGGGCACTGCTTCAGACTTACCAAGTCCATGACTACCTTCAGTCTGTTCCCAAGGAGGAGCTGTTGGCCACCACCAGGCCTGCTTAAGCAATGCTGTCCATCTCATCTCAAGCAGTGGCTCCCACTTTCTTAGGGAAAACCTTGAGAGGAGACTGAGGGTAGTGGTGTATCAGGTTAGCTCTTCTTCAGTGCAAACAGCTTCCAGTCATTCTCCTCCTTCATGACTTCCTCAGTTTCCCTGCTCTACAACTGGGTGTGCTCCTGTCTTTGTACAGGCAGACAGCACTCAGGGTCTGGAGTATACTGCTGCTCCAAAGCTGTCACCTGTGGCTCATAGCTTGTTCGTGGTGGGCCCAGGAAAACTGGCAAGCTATCCTGGATAATTGCTGAGGCACCTTTGTTTCTGGAGACCTGCTATCAATCTCATTTATTGGTGCAGCGCTGCACTGCAGTGCTGTAAAAAGCAATAAAAGGAAAACTACTTGGATGGAGTTACCTGAAATATGTTTTTCAGCTTGTACTTCTGTTCACTGCACAAATGTATCACAGAGGCAGCAGTAGCAATTTCATGCCATCACTGTCCCATTTGCACTAGGTGCCCTCAATATAATGTCCCCTTCCTCTGTTTCCCCATCCACATCTATTTCAAGACTCGCCTCATAGCAGAATTTTTAGTAATGCTTTGCAAAACCCTACGACAAATGCAAAAGCAGAATCCTTACCAATTTCACCAACATTCCATATTATCAAATGAGAGGAGCTGATGATACCTCAAGTGGACAAATTTTAACTGTAGTTACATTGCATGACTCACTCAGCATTGGTATTAAAATCCCAGATTCTTCTCCTGTGCGTGCAAGTGTTCCCTCCTCCCCACCCATGCCTACCAGCATAAACCACAGCAAGACACAAACACCTGCAATTTTTATCTTACTTCATGTTATATAATGCCTCCTGAGCCACACAGTTACTTGTGCTTATGTAAGGCCTGGTGGAATACACAAAGTAGAAACCTAAGTACAGGGATGCCTCCACAGACTTGATGTCCTGTGAAATCGGCTGCAGCTACACCATCCTTTTGCAGTGCAGACATCAAAAGGATTGCAATATGCTGGAGACCTGCTAGGAAGAAACACTGCTTGCGTGTAAGCAAAGCCGGGACAACAGAGGACAGAACAGCTCTGGCTAAAGCAGGTGGCAGAGAAAGCAGGAGTCATGCTGGAGCAGGACATTCATGGCCGTCCTCATGGATCCAGATACTCAGCATCTCTTGGGATCAGGGCATGGTGAGCGTGACATAATTCGAATGAGTATTTATAGTTAATTAGTAAAGCAGATGAAATGGAATGAGAATTAGAAGATCCCAACTAATCCTCTTTGCAAATAACTTTTTTTAAGATGTAAAACTTGTATATGATTTCTCACATTCAGAATTAAAGACAGTTATTTCTGACGAAGTTTTATTGGTACACTCAAAATGAACTTAGTCATGATGAATTTTTTTGTACCAAAAAGATATAAAAGTGCAAATCCAGGGGAATTCTTCAGCTTCTTAGTGTTAGTGGCCAACTATGAATTCAAATAAGTTAAAATTGAGTTAAGGGTCACTCTTTTAGGAAAAAGATGTGTCTATTTTTCAGTAGCACAAAAACTGTTATAACTGTCCTGGCTAGTGCAGCTGTCATTTGAGATGAAAAAAACTATCATCTCAACAGTCATCTTCAAGGAAAGAAAGGCTGCACATGGAAACAAGTAAAAGACCTTAACTTTAAAAATATATATTTATTGAAGTTTGTTAAATTCTGTTAAACTTATAGTGATTATAATATATCTGTCACTAAGACAGAGCTTAAATGGCAAGGTTAACATTAATTCCCATTTTGACAGTGGCCAGCGTCTGCTATAAAACAGAAAGATACTGTCTAGTGGGAGTCCAACCTGCAGCAAAACCTCTTATTTAGGGTTTGTATTTTCTCACACATTGCTCAGTAGCACTGAGGCTGAGGTGAGGCCATAGAGAGACACAAAATACTGTAGCTTGCTCATTCACAGTTCATCTTGTGACAGTATCAGAAATACCAGTAAGTGATATTAATTTTCAAGTTTTCCTTCAAGAAAACAAAATCAACACACTTTCTTGGTGTCTGATTGGTCTTTTAGGGTTTTAAAATTGTGTTTACTGAGCAGTGAGTTACAAATTAAGCTTAGCTTAGTTTGCAGAGGTGAGTCATACAGACTTCCAGGAACCAGCCAAATTCAGCATTTGACTGTGTTCTTTGCTGCTCTTGGGCTCTGGAGGAAGGCAGTGGTGACCAAAAAAATAATAAAATAGAAGTCTTCATAGAGTGGCAGAGCTGAGGACCCCACATTTTGTCCTTTTCTCTGCCTATTCCATGCCATCAGTTTGAACAGCTGCATAAATAAATGCTTTACACACACATTCACACAAGCTCTTTTATTGAGAAGCAGAAAAGTCTTAAATGAAAACCTAAACACTCAGGTTTGAGGCAAGGGGTGTGATGTTACTGAAAACTTCCACTGTTGGACTGGGTTTCTACCATAGCAGGTCTTTGTTATTAAAAGTTCCATACAGAACCTGAATGCAAAGCATTTACCATCACCCCTTTGATAAAAGCATTATGAAATTGTTCAAAACCACTGACTTTCTTCCTTGCTTGTAAAGAAACTTCACATTCACCAACAAATTAACTTCCCACTTTGTAAGACTTGTGTTTAGTTATGGCCAGATAAATTTCACTTATAAACTGAAAGAAATGCCCAAACAGTGCCACCTTTAATCATAAAAACTGCTGTGCAGAAGCTAATGAAGAAAGCCAGACACTGGCCTACTATAAATGAGTCCCCTGGTCCAAAACACAATCCATCACAAAGTTGAACCTCATTTCCAAATAAAGCAGAAGGGACATGTGAACATACCTTGCTATAAACATTTCCTTCTCCAGCATTTCCCAGAAACTGTAATTCAAACAGGGACCAGATCTAGCAGACCAGATTCAGGCAAAACAAAATTTGCATTTAAATCAGCAAGAGCTACTGGTGACTAGCATGCAGCATGTACTTATTAGCATCCTAACAGAAATGTGTATTTTAAAGCAGATGGTAGAAGCTGAAAGAAAATTGAATCACAAAATAAGATCATTAACATAAGTGCTTCCTCTTCTAATCAGCTACCACTGTGTTACTATCAACTAGGGTGTTGGGGAATATCATTCATTTCCTCATCTCAGAATGTAAATATGTGAATTCTTTCACTCCCTGTTTCCCCCCTCACCTCCGTACCCACTTTGCACAGGCACTTGCTTTCCCCTCAGTGTTTCCCCCAGTTTGACAAAAAATTAGAGTGGACCATTTTCTTGTCTTCTCTCCTTCCCATCAGTAGAGTTCCCTGCATCTACTGAAAAAACCTCTAGATTTTGACAGAAGGGGGTATTCTGGGACAACATTTCACACTTATTTCTCCACATAGCTGCTTCCCACACCAGAGCACAACCTTTTAGGTGCAAGCATAGTAGCTTGGGAAAACAGCTTGAAAAGTACAATCATGAAACAAAAAAAACAGAGCATAGTCATTCTATCTCTCACAGTTACATTAATATTTCTCAGTTCACATAGCAATTAAACTACCAGTACTTTGGGCTTAAACCACTCAGCTACAAACAAGCCGGTTTTTCTCCCCTTCCCCATCACCTTCCTCAACAAAATTTCTGCAACCAGAATTTAACCACTGCTGTGACCATATCAGGAACCAGACTATTGGTTAAAATGCTCTTCACTGGCAATGGCTGTGAGAACTGACTTGCTGGTATGAGTTACAGATAGGAACTAGAGCACCAGTAAAACCCAGTCATTACAAGAATCGAGGATGCTTAAAATATACTACAAGGATTGTCAAAGCTACCTCAAAAAAAAGTCATAGAAAAATGGTATTCCCTTACCTGACAAAGCTTTCAAAGGCACTCATCCATCAAAAATACATCCATAGAAAATACACTTCTATGGCTTCTTTTCCTTGAGGAACACAACAGCTCAGTGCAGGATCCTGCCTACCCTTTTACTCAGCTGTAAGGTGTTAGACCTACCAGATCCTTACCCAAGCCCCAGCTGACAGCAATGGGTAACTTGTCCTGTAGGACCCTCAGGGAAGTAAAATTTCTTTGGTGCTGAGGACCTGGCATGGTGCTTTTTTATTCTTGGAAAAGTAACACACTCCTGAGATTATCACAAAATTCCTGAAAGGGCTTTGTGCAAGAGGGCTGCTGGGCCACAGCTGCATGAACACCAGGGGCATAATTTCATTTTAAGCATGCCTGAGCCAAAACACTGTAGAACTGTTACAGGCATTACTTTGAATTTCTAGGCAAGGCAATCACTGATTTTGCTCATTTCCAGTGTAATTCACAGTGGCTACATAGGATTTTGATCTGCAGTAATTTAAATAGACTGCAACAGGGCATGGAATTTTAGCTCCAAGCTTTTGTTTTTCTTTCTAACATCAGGTGTTGCAAATATTGCAGCAACCTAGAAATAAGATTCCAGATAAAAATTCTCACTTTTCTGCTCTTTCTAGGTTGAAGGAGGCCAAAAGATTAAGCATACAACGTTGCAGGTGCAGGGCTGAGTTGCAAAATCATTACCACCTTGCCCCACATCAAGTTATCACCAATTATTTACACACAAAAGAAATCGCTACCATTTTACATAGAAATATCCATGTACTTGCTCTCCCACATATAAAGGAACAAAACTTCTACGTATTATTTTCCCAGCTGGAAGCTAATCTGCGCTAAATTTTGCTGCAGTGCTGAAGATTTCTGAAAAGCTTCACAGATAATTGAGTTGCAGCTTCAATACATAGGATCCCTCAGTAAGCAAAAGAGTATCATCCTCTGTTTGTCATAAGCCTTTTTAAAGCAGGAAGAAGATCAAGAAAAGAACAGATGAACCTGTTGAGAGGTTCTGACAGCATTACTTCTCCCAGAAGTGTTACTAACTACCCTACAATTTTCCACGGTTATTTCAAGGCCTTAAGCATCAGACAAGAGTGGTGTCATGCTATAAACGCAAGTAAAATTGGGTACTTCCATTCCTACTGCAAGCCTGTTTCTGTGGAGCTGTTGGTTTCTCCAGGCAGCTGTTTCCAATGACACCTGATCTTCAAGGTGGGCTAACAGGCTTTCAGTGTTGCGGGACCTACAAGGCAGCTGCCCACTTAATAAGAACCTGCACTAATTGCTTGGGCAAGCTCTCATCAGGCTCAGTATGCATATAAAGTGAGTCTAGAATGGATTTAGGTTTCTTCTGGGGCTTTTTAGCACAGTTTTGAGCCTTTTGTGCCACTGAAGTACTGATTCAACAGAACAGAATGACACATTTGCAACATAATTGTAAGATCTGCTTTTCTGTTTTGTTTTCGAGTTCACCTGAGCTTCTGAACTGGTATCTTTTCCATTCTTTTTTTTCCTGTTAGCTTAAGTGACTGTTTCATGGCACAGTGATTTGGAAAATGCTCATTTTATAAAGGCTAGTGTCTCAGTCATCTTTCAGCCCCCAGAGACAATTATAACACCAAATGTTATAAGCTAAGGCTGCTCACATACAGATGGCAAAAACTGTTGGTGCAGCAGGAAAGGAATGGTAAGTATTTAATCCTACCCACTGCTCTGAATCCTGTGCATGTGCAGGGGCAAGAAAACACATCAAAACCTTCTTCTTGCACAAGACTAGCTGTGAGCTTCTTGTTGAAGAAAGTTCAGCAAATATCCTTCCAACTGCCTTGCAGAGAGATATAAGGCTAAAACAGTCCAGTCTCACCTTTAATCTCTCTCGATGCCTTCTGACAAGGGATCTCTGCTTTTAGAACTGCAGTTTGAAGCTTTCTCTAAGACTGGAAAGGTGATAGAATGATCTTGTGCTCTGTGAGGAGAGCAGCTACCTCCCCAGGACAGATGTTGCAGTTCACTGCCTGGGACTTTCGCTGTGCTTGCCTTTGCCAACACTAGATGACCTCTAAGAGTACTGTCTCTGGAAGGCTATAGCTCTGGAAACCAAACATCCAACCAACAAAAAACACCTTAAAAATCTGCCTCCTGCTTTTAATAAAGTAATACAAAGGATGGAACAGAATGGAACATCTGCTGATCAAAACTGATTGGAGCCATGATTAATTGGTTTTAAAATCAGAAATGGCAGGTTCATTTTTGGCTAAACTGAGAAAGTAAAACAGTTGGCTCTCTCCTCCCAAACAATTATAATTGTAAGTTTGACATGATATTCCATTTCTAAATGTTTTGCTTCCCCAACGTCCTAAGCTGACACAATAAAAATAAATTACACTGCACAAAAAATATGACTGGACACAGTCTGAATCCTGTGCAGCTCAGGTCAGAAGTCTTTACTTTCCTGAGCACCTTGCTCCAACTGTATTTACCTGAAGTACCACTGCAGTTCAGTCTTTGGGGTAAGGCACTAAGGAGAAATGAAGCATCTAAAACTGGGTAACAGATTTGTTGCATTGTACATTTTCCTAGTGAATTGCTTTATACTGATGTATTACTACTTTCACTTTTCTGAGCTTATGAAGTGTGACTGCCATTTAGCAGCGCCTTGTTGTCCCAAAGAGACAGGCTGATAGAGGAATTTGTTGCAGTAAGATGGCAAGCTTTGTGAAAAAAGATTGTCCTTTTTCACTTTCATGGGACATTTTAGATAGGGACCATTCAGGGGCATTTTTTTTCACACAGGGATGCTTGGAGTTGAGATTGGTCTGAAAACCTTCCTGCATTGTACAATGTCACTGCACACATCATTGCCATTATTATAATTACTGCAGTTATTAGATTATTCTTCCCATGAAATATAGAGCTGTGAACTATACATGTTCCCAGTGCAGCCATGGCTACTGCTCTTCTCCCTTCTGCTGCAAAGCAAGCTGTGTGTGCTGCAGGCTGCCACCTCCTTTGTGGTGAAAATGTTATCAAGACAAAACAAATTAATAAACCCCTTTCTTCTGGTAAGGCAGAGCCAACAAGGCTGTCAAGAGCATGGTGGAAAATTATAGTAATAGGATAATGGAAAAATTACAGTTTGTGGAGAATGAAGTCTATTACTTTTACATTTAACAGCCCTGTGGAGAATAAAAACAGCTTTTCTGCAGAAAGATTTGATTTAGTGCCAAAAATTTGAATTTACACCTTAAAATAAACTGCTAAGGGAGAGTGAAAAATAACCTTTCTTCTTGAAATCCTGTAGCAGAATTAGCTCAAATTAGTACATTTTAGCCCAGAGGTATGGGTTGGGGAAAGAGTGACTTTTAACTGTGGATTTTGGTCCAAGTTAATGGAAAAGCTGGAGAGTTATTTAGGGAGGATAGCTGTTCTAGGTAATTTGTTTGGAAATTTTAAAATACTGACAAAAACCCCCCATAAACTTCTGCTCACATGGGGAGAATTTCACCTTCTTCAAACAGATAAATGAAATCTGATTATTCTGTACAAGAACTTTTTGAGAAATTCTGAAAGGGTACTTCTTATTTTGCATGTATTAAGGCTGTTCTTTTAAGTTATATTTCTGAAAAATAAAGATGAAACAATGCGTCAGTTTCTTAATGCCTGAACTAGTCTTATAGATTTTGATGCTTAGCCCTGAGATGCTTAAAACACCATCAATACATTTGCATTTGATTTCTTTCCAATAGAGACTCATATTTATGTTTTTAATATTGACAGCAATGCTGAGAGTGTATATTTCTTCACAGTACAACTAAAAGTAGCAATTAGAATTACACAGGTTGCCTTTGCATTCAGCGCATTTGCTTTAGTTTGGAGAAAAGTCTGTAAAAGAAGTAGCTGCAGACATAGGAATTAAAATCAAGCTGTTAAGATGCATCAACATCTGTGTTTCCAAACAAATACAAATCTGTAAAGAAGTACCATCCAAGTCTGATGAGGACTGAGCAGGTAAGTGGATCTGTAGTCTTTGAATAAGGAAAAACAAGATCTTTTGCTGTGCAGGTTGTACCTACCAGTATTCATATAGAGAGTTTATCTTCCTGGTATTTTTTACAGAGGAACATATTTACTTAATACGGGGTCTTAATCCACTGGGATACAGGAAAATTGAGAAATCTATAAATGCAAAATTCAGAAAGAAATTAATTCTGGAAAAGTTCTGTGACTGCAAGCTGTTTGCCAGTTTTGCCATGAATGCTCCCAGCTCTCCCCACCCTGCTCAGGGAAGCAGACTGAGAAACATCTTCAGGACGTGTCCAGGATTGTCACATCTCTGCTGGTGGCTGCAGGAGTTTTGATAGCTCTACACTGTGTTTGAAAGGTCTTCCAGGACAAGAGGAAAGATCCCAGCTGCCCCATGCAGCCAGACTGTGAGCATTTGTTGGCTGGTGCAGTCTGCTGAGGTGCAGGTCTCAAAGCTTCACCTCAGGAGAACAGGTCTGAGGAAGAGCCAAGGCTGCACTTTGGTACAGTCACTTATGGGAGATATCTGAAAGCTGTTTGTGATTGACCAGCAAGATTTACTTCTGTGATGGTTTCTTACGTTCAGTTGAAATGAAAATCTTGGAGAGGCCATGAGTGGCACTGAGTATAAACAGAGGTTAGTTGTAGAGTGTTGTGCGTCTTCACTGAAAGAAGCCAGTTTTGAAGAATATTCCTGTTTTCTTTTTTACAACAGGGCTCCTGTTTTCTTGCCATGAATTGATCACACATCCACATCAGACATCAAAAATCAGTAAATCTAATACTGGAGAACAGAGTGGCTCAAGAATGGATCCTGGATTTTCAAAAGATGCTTCATGTCCTGACACCTGACTTGAGACCCATCACAAAGCCTCCTCAGCACTTCAGAAAATGTACTACCTGATATAAAATGTGCAACAGCCAAACATCTTTATTGCTATATGTTGGTTACAATTAGAAAATCTTTGGCAGTTGCTATCACTTTAATATCTGTGTAGCTACAAAATCTAATCTTTTGGCAAGAAACTAATATGACTAATTACATTTTGTGATCTGCATTTCCCCCGAGGTCTCAGTATTTTGTGCTTCCTTCCCAAATTGTAACATAAAGCAACTTCTACTAGTTATGTAATTTGTTATTAATTTAAATAACATGCAAGCTATATTTTGGTTTCTCCAGGGGACAAAGCATCACTATCTTCTTTGACATAATGGAAAACCCCCAAATTTAAAACATTTAAATTTTAAATCATGTGTTTATAGAAAATCAGCATCAATGCACAAGTTAGACTAGTTTTCACAATTTTGGTGAAAATGTTTCAGATGTAAAGTTTTAATTGTGTTTGTGTGGTAAGGTTTTGGTAGCCGAGGGGGGCGGGCTACAGGGGTAACTTCTGTGAGAAGCTGCCAGAAGCTTCCCCCATGTCCAATGAAGCCGGTGCCAGATGGCTCCATGACAGACCCACCTCTGGCCAAGGTGAAGCCCATCAGTGATGGTGGTAGCACCTCTGAGACAAGGTACTTAATAAAGGGAAAAAACACCAAAATTTTGACGAGGGAAACATTGAGATTGACCCCAAATGCATTTTTGTCTCTTTTTAGTTTGCCTAAGGAGCCCAAAATTGATTCCGCAAGCCAGAGCTCTGCCAAAAAATTGCAGCTCTGTGCCTCACACCACAGTGCCCACTGTCACCCCTCGTCTTGGGCTGCACTCTCTCACTGTATGTGCACAGCTAAAATTACACAGAAGGGTTTGCTGGAATCCAGAGGGGTCTGACATCTCCTCTGAAAAACCTGCTGATGATTTTAAGATAACAAAAAGCTTTGGCAGCTCAGCTATTATTAATGGAAGAGGCTCCCTGATGTGCAAGGAGGCAGTTGCTTCCTTGAGTGACTCAGCTGAGGCAAATTCACCTCAACAGCAGCCCTGATCTCAAAATTTCAGCGACCAGAGAAATTGCTTGTGGGTTTTGGTTAACTGCTAGAACTGCCTAACTGAGCTAAAACGCAAGTTACTGAAGTCAGATGAGAGGAAGTCATCAACAGAGGTTGCCTTTGGTGAATATCTCCATCCACAACTTACAAAATCTGAGAAGTTTTGGCTGTTGTCTGTCTTCTTAATATGTGGTGTCTATTTGTTAAGGTCCATTGTTGGGGGAGACCTAAGGACCATCTAGTGTTGAGCATCCCTCTGTAATGAAAGGTTTGATTTCTTTCAAAGTACCATGGTCTTGAAATCAGCTACTGATACATGTGGGAGATCATTAAGCCTTGTAACACCATGAATATTTATATTCAAATATCTGAAAGTGACTTATTTGGAGTATATATTATATGAATTAACGTTCCATTTTCAAAGATTTGCTGCTTTGGCCATGTGTATAGTTGTGTCTATGATCACACAGTGCTTATAGTCATGATCGCGTATTGTGTTCATTGCCATAAAATTACTGTATCTTTATCATGGTAAGTGCGTCGAACTCTTGTGTTTGTAGCACTTTGAAGATTATTTACAATTTATTCATTCCAGAACTGGGAGAAGAAAATACAGAGGAAGCATACATTTGTTTCCTGTAGCCTCCCAGAATTTAATATATTTGAAAAGCAGAGTATCTTGCAGCCTGAGGGAAGGCTGGCTCCTCTCAGGTCTAGGTCCCTGTTGATCATTTTTGTAGAGCACTGGATTGCCTTTTCAGGGGTACTGTAAGTTCTTAGGATTCTGTTGCGGAAAATCTAAAAGTGCTACTATTTTTAAAAGGTACTATACAAATAATATAAATACTATATAAATATGAAAATGTAGTGTTATCATTCATCATCCTGCAACCATTTAGTTCATACTGCCAAGTCAAATGACTTTTGGACGTATTACCTTCCTGCTAAGCTCCATAAGAGGTCCTATGAAAATGCATTTAATTCTGACAAATCAGACAATCTGTTGCCAAGAAACACAGAGAGCTCTTTTAATAAGCCTTTTTCGATCTTTATGCAATTTAGACAAGAATGGCTTAAATATTTGATTGAAATAGGTAATTAATAAACAGTTCTGTTGAAAAGTGGTCTCTGTCTTTGGTAAAGGGGTTTAATTTCAAGCATTTTTTGAATCCACAGAAGTTAACTCTCAACAAATTTCTTGTCTTACAGAAAGCCTTTTATACCACATTCTGTAAGAAAGCAAAGGGCTTTAGAGTCTTAGTCCAAGGTATAGGCAAAGCCCAAGCCCCTTTGTTTGCCTCCTGCTAGCTGTAAATAATTTTCATCAATATAACAACAGGTCTTATGTGAGCAGTAGTCATAAACCAAACTAAAATGTGGATCTACAGTGCTCTAATGGTTCCCTGGTAACTGCTTGAGTATGCTCTTCTACCAAGCAGTGTGTGCAAGGCATGCAACCTACTCCTTACTCTTTTTCTCTCCTGAATCTCAAATTTCTGCAGGGTAGGAATGGGTGAATTCATATAGTCATTCATATAGTCACTCTTGCCAGTCATAAACAGTTGTATGGGGAGTTCATGTTCTTTGCCCTTAAGGTTATATCACTGCCTGTCATTTAGTTTGTCTGAGCCCTTCCAGTTAACGGATTCGCAACATGAAACCAGTGAGAGGGTTAAGTCACTCTTGCATGGACCTGTGGATGCATGAGTGGATGGATGGCTGGGTGGATGGATTCTGTGGCACTGTGTTGCAGGAAGGGACTGCATGGTCACCCGCATGTTTTACTTTAATCGTGACGGAAAATGTGTAATAGAATGGCATAGTTTTCATTGCAGCTCAGACATACTAGGGTATTTTGCCTTGTACTAAATAAATATACTAAATAATATAAATTAAATATATATACAGTTTAAAAATACTAATGTTTAAGTAAGTATAAATATATTATTTAAGTAAAAACCAACTTCATTAAATATACTAAATACTAAGGTTTTGTGTCAATCACAGTTGGACTCATGAATCTGAGGACAGCTTGTCTCCTGCTTTCACGCTTTTTCTGCTGGAATTTCTTTTTTTCTCTTTTAAGTGTGTCTATTTTGGTGTTTCATCAGAGGAAGAGGTGGTAAGTCAATTCTCTTATAACAGCTGATTTAATGGATCTTACTTTGAAAGTTCTTATACGCTAAACTGATCATTCAAAAAGCTGTGACAGAAACTTGCAGTGCTCCTGGATAAACTCAGGTTCAGATGCCAGTCACAGGAAAAATTAGTATGTACTATCCTATAAAGGACAGTTGAACTGGTATTTATAATGACAGTATCTGCAAATGAACTTTTTCAAACCATTTCTTCCATGATTCTTCCAACATTTCTGTGAAAAAGGATTATCAACAAAAATAATCATGTTTTTGGTACCTGTAGTGCAAAGCATGCCATTATCATAGAATCATAGAATGGCTTGGATTGGGAGGGACCTTAAAGATCACCTAGTTCCAATGCCCTTACCATGGACAGGGATCCCTTCCACTAGACCAGGTTGCTCAGAGCCCCATCCAACCTGGCCTTGAATACTTCCAGGGATAGGGCATCCAGAACTTCTCTGGGCAATCTGTTCCAGCGCTTCACCACCCTCACAGTAAAGAATATATTCCTAACTTCTAATCAAAACCTACTTTCTTTCAGTTTGAAGCCTATTTCCCTTGTTCTGTCCCTACGTGGCCTTGTAAACATTTTCTTTCCTTCTTTCATGTAGCCTCCCTTCAGGTACTGAAAGGCTGCAATTAAGTCACCCCAAAGCCTTCTCTTTTGCAGGCTGAACAAATTCAATTCTCTTAGCCTTTTCTTGTAGGAGAGGTGCTTCATCCCTCTAGTCAACTTGGTGGCCCTCCTCTGGACTCATTCCAACAGGTCAATGCCCTTCCTGTGTTGGGGAACCCAGAGCCGGACACAGCGCTCCAGGTGGGGTCTCACCAGAACTGAGTATGTTTTTTGTAAGAACATAGTAACTTCTTGAAATGTTCCCTTAAAACATTTAGAATTCCCATACAAAGTTTGAATCTTTCTTTGTAGTAGACATGGCATTCAATTATTTTAATTCTTCAAAATCTGTACTGGTTCTAGAACAAGTATTCCAAAAAAGCCAGTGGTGTAACGGCAGAGTGAACTCAGGAACAAACTTAAGACAACATAGATTTTATGTAATATTCTCTTTGTAAAATATCTTACCCTCTAGGGTTGTGTATTGGGCCTAGCTGAGATGGAGTTAATTTTTCCACAGCAGCCCTTACAGAGCTTTGCTTTGCATTGGTAGCTATAAAAGGTGTTGGTAACACCTGATGGCACAGCATCAGCACTGTCTCTCAACATTCCTTCCCCCCACAAAGGGGCTTGGGGTGAGCAAGATCCAAGAGGGGTCACAAGTAGGCCAGCTGACCCAAACTAACCAAAGGAATATTCCATACCTTATGACATCAGCTCAGATATAAAAGCTAAGGAAAGGCAGAGGATGGGGGAGCATTCCTTGTTTACAACGCTTGCCTTTCAGAGCAACCATCGTGTGAGCTGAAGCCCTGCTTCCTGGGCAATGGCTGAGCATCACTTGCTGATGGGAAATAGATAATAAACCTTTTTTTTCCTTTTGTTTGTGCATGTGCAAACTTTCACTTTTGATTTGGTAAACTGCCTTATCTCAACCTACAAGTTGTTTTCCATCTTATTTTCTCTTCCCTCTCCAGCTGGGAAGGGGAGTGGGCACCTGGTGTTCAGCCGAGGTCAACCCACCGCAGGTCGCCTTAGGCTTTTGTTGCTGTTAATAAGTGCTGTGGTCTCAGGCACTAGATGGCAAAGTTAGGTAAACTGTACTCATACTATCAGGTCAAAACAAAGGATTTAAAAATAATCTGCAATTAGTCGGGGAAAAAAACAAACAAGCAAAAAAAACCCAACAGCAAATGTCCTCAGTATCCCTGGGATGCAGAAAAGTGCCTGGACGTCCTAGTGGCAGCCCTTCCTTCTCCACAGCCTCTCTAAAAGGTTAAAAGTGTGTTAGCTGTGCACCCCTTTACTCCAAAGGCACAGTACTCCAGCAGAGCTCCTGTGCAGAAAAGCAGCCATCAAGTAACTCTCAGTGGTGG